ATTTGTAGGCAAGGGGCACATCCCAATATGCATAAAAAAAGCAATAGTTAAATCCAAAAAGAACACAAATATACATAATAATCTGGAATTTTTCATTATTTATATTATTATTATTATACAGGATTTATATAGCGCCAACAGTTTGCGCAGCGCTTTACAATATATTTTTCATAACGTAATATAACACTTTTGATAGTTAAATAGTACATTTTATTTTAGAGGTATGTATATAAAAAAGGACAGATGAGGAAGAGCGAAGGACATAGGGATTTGGTAAAAAAAAAATGAGCAATATATTTCCACTTAGTCAAAACGTCAGCAGCACACCTAGGAGCTTGTTAAAAAGTCCAAAGCTTTTTTTATTTGAAAGAGCACAGAAGGGCACAACGTTTTAGAATCTGAAACATTGCACTCTAATATTTCAAATGCAAAAGCTTTTGACTTTGCAACAAGTTCCTATGTTTGCTAGCAACATATTTTGTTTTGGTTCCAAAAATAATTAAATAAGGAACAATTGGGAGTTTTGAAGTTTTAAAAGTGGTCAGACGCTTTTGAATTTATTTTTAATATTCAAAGCAAACTCACCCATCCATCCATGTCTCCATGCTTTATTTTATTGAGAAGTCACCTTGAAAAACACCCCCTAGCAGGGGCGGACTGACAACTCATGGGGTCCCCGGGCAATAGGGATTCATGGGGCCCCTGTGTCCTTGCCCAAACTCAAAAAAGCCTATGAAAAAGGTACCAGGGGCATCTCATGGGGCCCCCTACTGACCCTGGGCCCTCGGGCAGTGCCCTAGTTTCCAAATGGTCAGTCCGCCCCTGCCCCCTAGCATTTCTAGTCACTGATATCTTGAGTAAGGGCAGATGATTCATGTAGTATTTACTTTCTGGAATCCATCTGCCCCTGGGTCAGGCATGCAGGCTGAAGTGTGTGCTTAGCTGAGAAATCCTCTCCTCCAGATGAAAGAAAACAAAAATGCACATGAAGACTCTTGGGATATATGACATAATTTTGGCCTAGGTCAGAAACCAGGAAGAGTGTATATATTAAGATAGCGCCTCTGTGCTCAAGGGAAATAGATCAGAGTGGCAGGCAGTTGGAGAACACAACTCAGTGGATATTTTCCTAGGCTTGGATTTTTAAGTCACTAGGTAGCCTTCAAGCTTTGCAAGCCCTTGTTGCACAGGAGAGTCCCAAGCACTGAACAACAAAAAAAAGAAGAAAATGTGCACCACATTAGTGCATTACCAATTGTACCATTTGTTAAAATATAAAATAGAGTGTCTGCTCTGCATTGTGTGTTGTTGGTGCCTGTCTATAGCTAAAAATTAAAGCTACATTTGAAGTCACCTTCTGGCACAAATTATGTGCCTTACACTCATTTGGCTTTGTGAGTATAATTCTCTGTGTTGTTGTATTTTACATTTTAATACATGGTACCATTGGTAAAGGTTCACCTTTCTTCCAATTTGTTGTTCAGAGTCCAGGAAGAAACTTTAGAAATTTAAACAAAAAAAGAGGTTTAAAACAAGTAAACATAATATACCTTCCTACCTATTTACTAATGCTAACAGCACAAGGATTAAAAATAGTTAACATTTATTGGGAGAGTTCAGTTCTGCTTTAACCACCTGCCTACTGGGCACTTTCACCCCCTTCCTCCCTAGGCCAATTTTCAGCTTTCTGCGCTGTTGCAATTTGAATGACAATTGTGTGGTCATGCAACACTGCACCCAAACAACATTTTTATCATTTTTTTGAGACAGATAGAGCTTTCTTTTGGTGGTATTTAATCACCACTGAGGTTTTTCTTTTATGCTAAACTAAAAAAGACTGAAAATTTTGGAAAAAAAAAAATTTTTTTTTCTTAGTTTTTGTTATAAAATTTTGTAAACAAGTAATTTTTCTCCTTCACTGATGCGCACTAATGAGGCTGCAGTGATGGGCAGTCATAGGCGGCACTGATGAAAAGGCATTGATAGGCGGCACTGATGAGCATTGACAGGCATCACTTGTGGGCATTGACTGGCATCACTGATAGGCACTGAAAGGCAGCACTCATATATGTCACTGATAGGCGACATTGATGGGCACTGGTAGGCAGCACTGATAGGCGGCACTGACTGGCACTGATAGGTGGCACTGATAGGAACTGTTAGGCGGCACTGATTGAAACATTTTGGCTGCACTGATGGGCACTGATAGGCAGCACTGACTGGCACTGATAGATGGCACTGACTGACACTGATAGGCAGCACTGAAAGGCAGCTCTGATGGGCACTGATATGTGGCATTGATGATTGATGTGCACTGGTAGGCAATGATATGTGGCATTGATGGGCACTTACAGGTGGCACTGATGGGGCTACACTGATCATCATGGTGCTGATCATCAGTGCTCTGATGATCAGTGTAGATGCCCCCTCTGAGGAATGCCGATTACCGACTCTTCTCACGAGCTGTCAGCGGGAGGAGAGGACTGCCAATAACCGTCATTTCCTATTTACATGTGATCAGCTGTGATTGGACACAGCTGATAACATAACAGAGCTGACGTCATTGACTCTTTACAGTGATTAGTGATCTGCTGTGTCCCAGGGTCACATCACACCACCGATCGCCGTGCCGCATGCCCCTGAAGGCGCACATGTGCAGTTTCAGTGGGAAGACGTCATATGACATCCTCCCTGAACGAGAGAACCGCCGCCTGCCCGTCATTACCTTATATGGCATGTGGGAGGCGGTTAAAGTGGTTCTAAAGACAGAAGTCTTTTACCCCCCCCCCGGACCCCTTAAATACTTACCTGAGTCTGATCTTGATCCAGATATGTGCACAAGAGCAGCTGCCCATTGGACAGAGAGGCAGCAGCGGGAGCCATTGACTCCTGCTGCTCTCAATCATAGCCAGTTAGGAGAGAGTGGGTGGTGGGGCTGAGCAACACTCTGTGTGACAATGGACACACAGAGTCGGCTTGGAAGAGAGCATGTATAAGTGCCCCCTTAGCAAGTGGCTTTTTATGGGGGCACCCTATGGGAAAAGGAGCCCAGAGGAGGAGGATCGGGCCGCTCTGTGCAAAACCATTGCACAGAGCAGGTATTACATGTTCTTCTAGCCGGTAGTAGAGTGATAACACTAATTCTGGTCATACTAATATGACCATACTAATTCTGGCAGTTTGGTTGCTTTCCATTAGCTTTCACCCACACCAATCTGCCATTTATAGTTTTAACCATGTTCTTGCTTGGAGTGATGAAATTAGTAAAGTTGGTAGGGAAATCATTAAAATTTGCCCTCTGGCTAACACTGTAGTGTTTTTTTACATTTCTGTTACAATTTCAAACCACACAGAACTGACAAACAAATGGCACTGTCATTATAACAATGCAAGGAAAGGAGGATATCTGACCAATGCAAACTGAAAGCTGAAATGTTAAACAACCCTTTACATGGAACATAGTTCAGTCATCAAATTTGTTTTAAATAATTTGCTACAAAGCAAAAATTTAAATTACAAAACCTAAGCAAATTTATAAAAACACCCCAAAGTGTATCCTTTCACACACTATAAAATCAAATTACCTAAACTCTGATATATCTTTATATTTAAAGCTAAAGTCAGGGTTGCAGTGGCTGCTTCATAAACAAATTGGTGAAGGGAAGATAGGCAGGTTGGCATATAGGAAGGAGGCCATAGGGAACACCAGACCTAAGAAGAGCATCCTGTTGATGACCGGCCACACAGAGGGAGGTAAACAGAGGCACAGATTATGTCCTGCTATGTGGCTATGCCTAAAGCAGGGCCAACAGGAGGAGCATCAGAGACAGCTCCAACTGCAAACAGGAAGCGCCTGCAGGGTATACACAGACACCTCCCGGGCCGGCAGCTGCAAATACAGCGGCACAGAAGGGACAACAGCGACCTCTCTCCTTCACTGGCCGGCACACTGTGACAGAGCACAGTCCCGCTCTGTAGCTGCGATGGATTGGGATGTCTCTATGCTGGATTGGGATGTCTCTTTGTTATATATTGATGTCTTTTGCTGGATTAGGCTGTCTCTTTGCTATATGTGGATGTCTCTTTGCTCGATAGGCTCTCTTTGCTGTATAGGTATGTGTCTTTGCTGGATGGGGATGTCTCTTTGCTGGATTAAGCTGTCTTTTTGCTATATGGGGATGTCTCTTTGCTTTGGATGGGGATGACTCTTTGCTGGATGTCTTTTTGCTGGATTGGGATATCTCTTTGCTATATAGGGATGTCTCTTTGCTGGTTTGGGGTGTCTTTTTGGTGTATTGGGCCATCTCTTTGTTGAATATATAGGGGACACTGATTATCAGAAAAAAAGGGGGGGCATAACTGCAAGGGGCACTGTGATGGGGGGCTGTGATTTCTAGGGGCACTGTAATCAATACAGTGACCCTTTACAGTGCAGTCCACTTTATATCACAGTGCTCCTTTACATTACAGTGTGGAGGACCGACTCCTTAAATATTCCATCACCAACTGCCCCCGGGAATGCCCGGGCCTATTTTCTGTCCCTGTCTGGGCCGGCCTGCAACCCACGCTGGCTGATATAGAGGGGATTACATGACCAGACTAGAATGACCTGAAAATGGGTAAGGTTAGTCAGAGTAGGTGTTAAGAGGGGGGGAGGGAACATTTTTACAAGCAGTTTTTGCCTTGAATTCTAGTTTAATTATTTGCTGTTCTCTGTACCTACCGAATTTCTTGATTTTGAGGTTATCTCTGGCTGGGAGGCATTTTTTTCCCTAAGAGAAAAGCAACTTTTCACAGCAAGCAATGCTTAGAATGGAAACATTTACTGGAGTTTCATCACCCGCATTATAGCCATGTAGCATGGTGGAAAGCGATTGGTCACAACAGTACAAGTATCACTTTATGGATTCTCTGGTGGGTTGAACCATACTGTTTATGCAATTGACCGTTTAGCTGTTTGGTGCAAGCAGCTCCTGAACTTTTGTTTCAGTGATACTTACTCTGAAAGACATCTCCAGATTCTCTCCACCCCAGATATCCATTCCCGAATCATACGTGCCAAGCTCTTCAAAATAATTCTTGTCAATGGAGAAAAGGCCTCCTGCCATTGTAGGTGTTCTGGAGAAAAGAAGAGGGTATAGATTTATGAATCTGTATATCAAAGTGTAAGTAGACTATAGACTATGTTAATGTAATACATCATCATGCTTAAAAGGCGCTTTGTGTTAAGACAGCCTATTAAGTTTGAATGGGCTGACAGGGCACCCTATCACACTAAATTATCATAGCCAAGCCTTCTTTTTTTTTAAGCATAACACATCTGTGCATTCTAATGCTTTGAAACACATGTGCATTAAGAGTGTGCGGGCAAGGTGTGTTGGGGGTCCCTTTTAAAATAAATTGCACTGCTGTGTATTAATTTGTACGGCGGAAACGTACATTAAAATAATGCATTAGTTTGAACTGTTTATGCCTTCTCTTTTTCATTTGCTTTAGTATATCAGGCCTCTTATCATATTTTATGATGCCTTCTCAGGTTCTTACAGCAGAGGGTGCCAGTGATCAGCACATGGCTAAGCCCATGCAGGCGCTGTATGATATCCTAGCTCAGTAATTGGTATGACATAGATAAACAGTGTCACAGTTTCAGCTGGAATGTGATGCACACTCAGATATATTGTATTGACAGGCGAAGATAAGTGAGCTTCGCTTTTCCAGAACAGAGAAGACATGCGTTATATCCAAGAGGGAAAGACTAATGACCCCGCTGTATTATAAAATTGTAGCATTCTACAGTAAACAATGGAAATGTTTGAAAAAAAAAACTTTATTTATAGAGATTATTAGGTTTTTGAAGAGCTAACAGATCAATTTCTTCTTAATAGCATATAATCATAAGAGGAAACCAGCAGGCCTAAACAGATCTTTTGTACGAAATGAAGAAGATTCAATATTCGTCTGTTCTTACTCATCGACCACTAAGAACACAGCCAGACTAAAACTATAATATAGAGAAAGGGAGAGAAGAAATGACAGCGGCATCAATAAAAACAGAGCTTCAGCAAATCAAGTATATGTAAACTCAAAGCTTTAAAATAAATATATGTTTGCTACTATCCCTATAATTATTCAGAGGAATCAGAAAACAACTTTTAGAAATCTGAGCACATCAGTGCTGTAGCCATAGAATTTCTACTTTTTGTGTGACAGTGCTCACCGCTGCTTTTTAAAAACTTCATCCAGCCCTCCTACTATGCCTCTCTCTATTGCAATGAGATGTCCACCAAGGACTACTAAGACCTGAAGTTTGTGACCTGGCAGCACTTTAGGCCCCAGAATGGGTACATTGAGTGAATTAGGTCCAGATGAGAAATAGAGATGTAGGGTCTACATGACTGAGTTAAAAAAGGGGTTTGGCATTGGAGAAGTTTTTCAAAAGTAAGTAAGGATTCCGCATACCTACCTGATTGGTGGATCAGACAGGAATAGGAAATTCAGGGGGTGGTTACAGAAAAGCCTCTCAAAAATCAAAATATATATATAAAATAGAAGATAGCTCGTGTTGGAAATCTTCCTACCCTAATTTAATAGTTAATGTTTTTTTTCTATGGAGTGTTTCAGGTTGATATGTATTATCATAGTAGCTTGCGGGGTTCAAGGTTCTTGAAGGTCGCTATGGTAAAATGTAAACTGGTAAGTACCCATCTTAAGTACAGTTGCCTTTTATTTTGTATGGTTCAGTAACAGTGAACTCAGGGTCATTCATCTGCGGTTATTGGTGCAAACGTCTCCGACTGTTTTGTGCAGCTGGAGGCCTGCTTTGCTAATACTCAGTTAAAGTGGTTGTAAACCTGAATTGACATGTAATATATACAAAGCATATCCTGCTATAGTGCGTGCTTGTTTCAATCAATAGCCCTAAGTGTAATTTCTGCTTGCTGCCTCATTCCTCTGCTATAAACATGAAGTCACTTCTGATGAGTTTTCCTGACACCAAGAGAAAATGGTGACTGGGAGGAACCTCCAGCAGATTGACAACCTTTGCTCTGTTCCTGTGAGTTGTGTGAATGGGGTGTCCCTTCTCTTCAATCAGCACTCAGAGCTCTCTTCACTGATGTAACTTCAGCTCCCCGCTCCCTGCTTTTCAGAGCTGAGAGATCTTGTGTAAATTCTGCACTTTGAATGGATGTAGGGGAAAGATGGCTAAAGATAAACAGGTAACACTTATGTAGGAGGATTTGTTTCATCCCTGTATATCGCCTGATGCCAGTCACTTCACTGGGTATATAACCACATTAACCGCCTCCCCACCCGCCATATAAGGTAATGATGGGCGGGTGGCAGTTCTCTCATTGTGGGAGGACGTCATATGACATCCTCCCACTCTACAGGCACACGGCGATCGGTGGTGCTCCCTGGGACACAGTGGATCACCAATCACTGTAAAGAGCCGATGATGTTGGCTGTGTCATGTGATCAGCTGTGTCCAATCACAGCTGATCACATGTAAATAGGAAATGTCAGTTATCAGCAGTCCTCTCCTCCCGCAGACAGCTCGTGAGGAGAGGAGAGCCGGTAATCGGCATTCCTCAGAGGGGACAAATATACTGATCATCAGAGCATTGATAATCAGTGCCCTGATGATCAGTGTAGCCCCATCAGTGCCCATCAATGCCACCTGTAAGTGCCCATCAATGCCACATACCAGTGCCCATCATGTGGTATCGATGTGTACTGATGGGCACTGCTTTGTGGCATTGATGGGCACTTACAGGTGGCATTGATGGGCACTGGTAGGCACTGGTAGGCACTGATATGTGGCATCGATGTGTACTATCAGTGCCTACCAGTGCACATCAATGCCACATATCATAACCCATCAGAGCTGCCTTTCAGTGCCACCTATCAGTGCCAGTTAGTGCCGCCTATCAGTGCTCGTCAGTCCCGCGTATCAGTGCCCATCAGTGCCACCTATCAGTGCCCGTCAGTGCCCCTAACAGTTCCAATCAGTGCTGCCTATCAGTGCCAGTCAGTGACGCCTACCAGTGATGCCTACCAGTACCCATTAGTACCGCCTTTCAGTGCCATATATGAGTGCTGCCTTTCAGTGCCTATCAGTGATGCCTGTCAATGCCCACAAGTTATGCCTGTCAATGCCCATCAGTGCCACCTATCAGTGCCTCCTCATCAGCGTCTATCACTGCAGCCTCATTAGCGCACATCAGTGAAGGAGACAAATTACTTATTTACAAAATTTTATAACAGAAACGAAGAAAAAAACTTCAACATTTTCAGTCTTTTTTAGTTTGTTTATCAAAAAATAAAAACCCCAGTGGTGACTAAATAGCACTCAAAAAAAATTATAAAATTTTGTTTCGGTACAGTGTTGCATGACCGCACAATTGTAATTCACAGTGTGACAGCTGAAAGCTGAAAATTGGCCTGTGCCCAATAGGCAAGTGGTTAAGTTACTGGCCTACAAAGATCTTGGGGCTCCATTCATATTGTCTAAAATGCTATTTTGGTATTTATATATTTTTGTCAATAAAGGGTTACTATGACCAGTTCGGGTGTCATGTGAAATATTTAGGTATTGATGAGTGTAGGCAGGCAGTACAAGAGGCAAAGTGCTGTTTATGTCCCTGGTCATGATATTTATTACTTTTTATAAAGAACATGGTTCTAGATGGGCACATGGTACCCTTCATGATTTTACTTTTGTCTTCACAGCTACTTTAACCTTTTTTATTTTAAACCTATACAGTCTGTAAGGGATATATGCTTTACTAAAAAAAAAAAAAGAATAAAAATCAACTATTAATTAAAGATAAAAAAACATAGAAATGGGTATTGCTTCTTTTTCTCCTCATCCCTACCCTCTCCCCAGCACTGCTCTCTTCATCTTCCTCTGCCACTCACGGACACCCATTTCTGCCATTTCTAGGTTGAATGACAGCTAGAATAATTCAACCCTTTTCTGTGAGCCAAGGTTGTCATGGACACACCCCCAGGTATGGTAGAACTGGGAGACAGAATGCAGGAAGGAGACTTTAAACACACCACAATGCATAAAACAAATAAGAACAGTGGAAAATTACTGTGTGGAAGTGACTGGAAAAAAAGGAAAAAACAAAAAAAGGACCAGACAGAACATGGACATCCTATAAATACTGGGCAGTAGTTAGGAATGGAGCCCTGCTTGTGGAATTTCTATATCATATGGGAAAAGATCTGCATGATATCAAAGAGATTATCACAGGATCAGTTACTAACTAATGGAACATTAGGCTCTCTATGGTGTAAACTACACAAAAGAGTCTAGTAGAACGTATTAGCTCATGATTACATGGTACTGCTATTGTGGCACATGATCCCATTTTCCATACACCACATGGAGCCCTTTGTTGCACCATTTGGCATTCCTCAATGGATCACAAAGACTTTTAACCTGTAACTTAGACCTGCTCAGATGCATGCTCAGATGTAAAAATGTGCATTTTGTTTCGTAACAAATCGTTTTTTCTAAGAATAATTTGATTTTCGAAGATTCGGATGTATACAAATCTTCAAATGGACAAAGTAATGAATGTAAGCAAATTCCAAAAAAGTTATAACAAAATTATTAAATGCATTTGTTTTATTGACATCACATGATTTCATAATAGGTTTGGCCCATGGGGAAATTAATTTAGTTTTTCAATTTGTTTGATGATTCTATTAAATTTGTGATTTAAAATGAATTTGTAATTGTCACAATGGGGGTTATTTGCTAAAACTAGAGAGTGCAAAAATCTGGTACAACTCCTCACAGAAACCAGGTTCCAGGTTTCTATGTCAAAGCTTAATTGAGCAAGCTGAAGTTAGAAGCTGATTGGCTACCATGCACCAGATTTTCAGTGCTCCAATTTTAGTAAATATGCCCCAGTCAGTCAGTTCAGTAGAACAATATAATACAATTCTGAGGTTTGAAAAAATTGGGGGCTGCCAAATTTTGCATTAATTATTCTATCACGTCCAAAATATTGAATCTTTCCTAATAGTTTCGATACATGAATATTGAATCCACCCAAAATATACAGCAATCTTCCGAAAAAAAACTGCGAAATGTTTCTAATCCACTTGGACCAGCCAATATATGAAATGAATGCCAAATATAAAGAAACAAATTCTGAAAATGAATTGGTTCAATGTAACAAATATGACAAAACAAAATTCTTCAATGAACTAATGTATCCGATACAAACATTTACGGCATGCACATGTCTACTCAGATGTGACTTATTTCAAGAGCATCCAACAAACTGGCAGAAATGATGGTCGATTACTATTTCCCTGTGAAATCGATCGTTGAAGAGCAAGCCAAGATTTCCTGGATCAGGCAATATTTGTCTTAAAATGCTACCAGGGTGCAAATTTTGTGGCAGATGTAAATCTACTTGTAGATGTTTAAAAGAATTAAAGGACATCGTATCAATGACACCAGTGGGTTTATTTACTAAAGTGCAAAATCAGGCTCACCTCTGCACAGAAACCAATCAGCTTGGTTTTAGTAAATAAGCCACTTTAGCTGTCTGGGGACTGCACATTCTCTGGGTCATTTCCAGGAGGTCCTGTTTCCTTGTAGATGCTAGAAAATAGCAAATGGCTAACTGCCAACCCTATTGGCCTCTGTATGTGTATATGTGTGTGATTGCGGTATAGACATTAAACCATACATTTCCCTGGGGCAAGAACACACTGCCTACTGTGCTGATGCTATATGAACATGGGAAGATGGGAACATCAAAGATGTTCCTGCTGTCACCCATACTAATCTAAGAGAAAAGTGTCATTCAATGGCCATGTAATGTGTATGTGTAGTTTAATTGCTGTGGCACCTAACAACTCTCCTATCACACACTGTGCAACCAACTGTTAACCGATTAATTTTATCTGTATTGAATTTTTACTGTAAAGATATGTGCACACCCATCCATACATGGAATATATAGTATTTATTTACCTTACTGGTAATGTTCTGTCTCCTTTCCTTCTGTCCATTTCTCTCTGGGGAACAGGATACCAGCGAAAATTCAATTTCCAATTAAATCCACCATAAGTCATGTCTGAACCAGCCATGTACTCAAACGTGTCATCACTTATTACATCGATTATTGGACAAACTACCGTTTTCCTGCAGGCAAAAATATGAAATGGCATAAAACAAATCAATTCTGTCCACGCCCCCCTGTACACCGCTGTATGCGAAGTTCTCTATAGTGATATTCTAATTCAATAATAGCTATTATCAGGAACTCAAAAACAAATAATAAAGCAGATTCATCACTGAATCCCAAATTAACTTATGCCGACAATCATTACCAGTTTCCCCTTCATGAGCTATTCTGCAGTAACTTTACCGTTTCCCTTTTAGCACAAGGTCATTGGCTCATTGTCTTCTGTTTTTGGAAATCATCTCTAATACTGAAGGACATGTTTTCTTTACTTAACCAGTGTGTTTTCCTACACCTTGTTTCTACTCCTCATCAATTACATGTTTTAACAAAATGTACCTTTAGAAGTCCTTTTTTCCACTGTCATGTATGATATGGCCTTAAGGGCCTTTTCGTACTTGTCTTATCCCAATAAAGTCTTTGTGGAATTAAAAGTCATCCCTCACATTTCATTGCACCCAGGAGCAAACCACCTTCATGAAAGCACACTAAGCAACATAATACATGTATATAAAGCTATATCCTAGGGGAGTACACCTAGCAACAAACTACCCTGACACTCCAGGTAAGTATACCCAGCCACTTTCTGACCTTGCACTCCAGAGGTGCAAACCTAGCCACGATTTGCGCTCACAATCAAGGTAAGCACACCCTGTCACAATCTGTACTCTAGTAACAGTATACCCTCACACCTCAAGTTGTTCCACTTTTTCAGCCAGAATATGAGTCTCCCGTGGTTGCCATGCCATATGTTATGGTGTTTACACCATTTCAGCTGACTAGACATGCATGCTCAACCAGCACACACATTGAGGCTGATTTACTGAAACTGGAGAGTGCAAAAAACGGTGCAGCTGTACATGGTAGCCACTCAGCTTCTAACTTCAGCTTGTTCAATTAAGCTTTGACAAAAAAAAACCTGGAAGGTGATTGGTTTTTATGCTGAGCTGCACCAGATTCAGCACTCTCCAGTTTTAGTAAATGAACCCCATTGCTTCCCTTTCCCTCATGCTTCCCTGTCCATGGCTTGACCATAGAAGACCCATGCAGACCAGGCTGCCATGACCACTGTAAGAAGGAACTATCACATCTGTGCATTTACCAGCCCTTCAATAGTTTAACTTGGAATTTTTTAATAGCATCCTAAACAAATAAACTTCCTTCTATATTTTATCAATGCACATTCAGCAGCAGACAGATGTGAAATATCCATACCGGTCTTCCTTTATTCTTGCAAGCAATGGCTCCAACCATCCAATTGTACATTCACAGTGAGCATCTAGGAAGGTTATCACTTGGCCTCGTGCAATATTGGCACCTCTAAGACGTGCCCGGATCAGCCCTGACCTCTGCTCCATCCTCAGGATTTTTACTGGAACCTCAAGATGACGGATATAGTTTTCCAGAGGAGCTTTCAGGAAATCTGGTGAAGGTACAAGCAAGAACATAAACACACCAAGAAAAAAGTGTCTATATATAACATACACCTGTCCTTCCAATAAAATTACTTACTCCAGGTATGAATATTTTATACTTAGTTACATTAGTCCAAGCTGGACCAATGTTTCTATGTACATACCTTACCTGGCTGATCCTCCTTGAAACTGGAAATCATGGAAAGTAGACACATCTACTTTTGTAATCTCCACTTGCTTCTGGGTTCCGTGCCACAAAGTGGAGAATGTGGCATCACTGTCCCACATTTCCACCTTGCCTAATCAGCAAGTGCTTTGAGTTCATTCAGAAAACTCAAAACATTCGGCTGACCTCCTGTGTTCAGATTGTAGAAGGCCAGAGACTTGGCATAGGTGATCACTGGAGTAGCAATGTCTACTTTAGTGATTTCTAGCTTGCAGGGGGATCAGCCACAGGGAGCTGCTAGTCCCTGCCTCCGGGGTCTTTACCAATATGCCTGGTAGTGCAAGTTGTGATTTTTTTTTCTATGTTATACAAAGTACAATTAAAGGCTTCTGTATGAGGTCTAAACAATCCAAAATCCAGTTAATATTTAATTCAAAAGCTTTATTTGAAAATAAAGCTCCCCCCGGGCCTTACCACCAACATTTCCCAGGGCCCGCCCTCTGGAAGTCCCACCAAGTCCTTCAGTGCACCCACTTTTATTTTATCACTTTTAAAATTTAATATATGAAAATAAAAAGTGTATTTCAAGTCAGAAGTGCTTTCAAGTTTTAACAGTAAGGAATTACATTTTGGCCAAAAAATATGAAGCCTGCCACCATGACAAGGTAGATTCTTTTGAACAGGACCTTACACTAACTGCACTATTTTTTCAATGTCCCCCCCCCCCCTTCCCCAACCTATCCTCCCCTAGCAGATCAGATAAAGAAAACAAAAAAACCCTCCAAAGCAAAAAACAAAGAGCCCTTAAATCTAATCCCCCCCCCCATATATTCAGTAAAGAGACAGCCCCATATATTCAGCAAAAGAGACAGCTCGAACCAGCAAAGAGACATCCCCATATGTCAAGCAAAGAGATGTCCCAATCCAGCAAAGAGACATCTCCATGCATCCAGCAAAGAGATGGCCCAATCCAGCAAAGAGACATCCCAATCCAGCAAAGAGACACCCCCATATATTAAAGCAAAGCGACATCCCAATCCATAAAAGAGACACCCCCATATATTCAGCAAAGACACATCCCAATCCAGCAAAGAGACATCCCCAATCCAGCAGAGAGATCTCCATATATTCAGGAAAGTGACTGGGAACTAAACCCCCCCTTCCCAGATCAGTTCGTTTCCAGTACAATATCCCCCCAGATCAGTTAGCTCCCAGTCTGTGTCAATCTACACAACATTTCCCTGTATTTAAAGACCTCATCAGCATAAATTGTAGTTTCCTTGCTGACATCATGGCTCTGCCCCCCAGTAAAGCCAAACCCGCCAACAGACAGCTGCTCCCTGCATGATTCCCACAACTGGACCGGAGCAGACCTGTGTGTAACACGGTCACACAGGATGCTGTGAGAGAAGCCAGGCAAGGCAGTGACAACTGCAACTAGCAATATCCATCCATGGGTGCAGTGTGTCAGCTCACAGAGGGCCCAACCCTCCTCAGGGTCCATTGCACCAATGGATGTCAACTGCCCAGGCCCCCTACATGGGTATGGGATGTCCCCCCCAATAGAGGCCCTGCTTACATGCTCCCCTTCCAAGACACTGCAGTTCACAGTGGGAGGGTTTCAGAAGCAGAGCCAGTGCTGTCAATCCAGAAATCAGTGGGCAGGACTAGGTGTGGATAGGTGCAGAATGACAAGCTACAGGCTTGTAAATTAGCAGTGACAATATGATAGCCACACCCCATGCAACTTGTTTTCATCTCATTGTTGTGCAATCAAGGAGAGTCTACATGAGAGTGGCAACTCTGCTCTGAATTCAGGAGCAGTGTAGCATCAGTGCCACCCCATTACTGGAAGCTGCATTAAGTGTTCATCACTGGCAGGATCAAAGGGTATTTTTGGGCTTAGGGAAGACAGATTAACATCTTTTTTTAGTGGGAGGCCATAATTCCAATTCAAATGTTAGCATTAGTGAAGATTATGCACCTGGAACTGTTCCCACGTATATACCTTAGTGATACACGGGAGCTCTGAAACCTGGGAAGCTCTGCTATGCAGATCTCAACTTCAGCTCTGAAATTCAGCCTCTGGCCCACCTACAGAACTTCATTATTAATCATTAAAGTTGCCTGTCACATTGAAACAAACGAAAAACAAAATGGCGCTGGGAGAGGACCACACATGAAGAGTCTAGATAGGTTAGTGACAAATCTTTAACCCTCTACACTGAGATTGGCGCCCCCTGGTGTCCAATTTATTTTCTACAGAGTTCTGTCACACTGAAAGTCTCTTAAAAACCTGAAAAAAAGAGACAGGCGTGGGCCAAAGTTTGAAAATTTTGCCTTTTACCTTCCTTTATTTCTTTCTTTCTGTAAGGCGCCATATTTCTGTTTGGAGAGGTTTAATTTAAAGGAGATTTCCAAGGAAGTTATAAATCCCGTATTTGGCTGGCAATCTGCCTTGTGGTAGCAAAGAAGGGTACTCACCTCCCACAATCCCTTTGCAAATGACAGCTGGGCCCATTTCCAACTGAGCTATGCTTGGTGATCAGAAAACAAAACTATTGAGAGTATTCTAAGGTCGCACTGTCATATCAGATTTAACTAGCAGGCAGTGTGACAGGATATTACAGCTTCAAGTTCAGATTTCCTTTAATACTGAGGGATAAAACACAATCGGGGGATTTACAGCTTTCTTGGAAATTCCAATTAAAGGGTATAAACAAACATCTCAGTGCAGCGCAGAATTCTGGAGTTGCTGTTTCGCGTTATCTGTCAAGTTTAATAATTCAGTCTGATTTACTTGTCATCTCCACTGATCCAGAATACCATTGGAAAATATGAACTGTACCTCTTTCACTTGCATCGTCCACCAAAATAACTTCCGATAAAAGATGGTGAGGAGACCGGTTGATGGCGCTGTGGACTGTTCGTAGTAGTGTGCTCCAGGCTTCATTATGAAATACTATGACTATGCTTGTGTTTGGGAGCTCATCGGGATAGACCTTCGTCTTACATCTGTAAAAACCCAACAGAAAATAAAGCTCAATTTTTAATGGTTCTTGAATTTTTCTTTAGTCTCTGCACTTCATCTTCCCCAGTTTTGTATCAGTGAAATTCATACAGGAACTGACTACTAACTGCCAACTGCTTCACGAAAGGTTACAAAACTCTGAGATGACCCTTCAGGTACTTTTTTACTTCAAAGTAAGGAAGCATATTATTTTATCGGTGGCAAGTTACTCTCTGGCATTTTGGAAGTTGCTTTTATTAGGTGATACGGCAAGATGTGTTTTACTTTCTTTTAGTATCACAATAAGGTGTTCAAGTTCTACTGCTATTTTTACCACTCTGCAAAAAAAAAAAAAAATATCCTCTGCTACTGGTCACGTTTGAAATAAAAAAAAAAAAAAAACAGCCTTTGGGATACAAAGTAAAATATGTCATATCAACAAACGGTTTAAATTGTCATACAAATATATAGTAGAAATCAAATCTTTATTATTTTTTGGCAATAACATGATGTGGGCAGATTTCTGCTAGTCACAGGTTACATCATACCCCTCCAGCCTGTGTCTTAGAATAACCGGGGGGTGAAGCCTCCATCAATCAAGATGTGATAGCCCATCCTCATCGTGTTTAGCTGGTTATTGGACATGGAGGAGGAGAGAGGGAATGGGTTGTCATTTACCACTGTGTATACACCCACATGTGTGACTCTATAGTCAAATGGGCAGCTCAGATGTGATAGGGAGGAAATGCTTAGGGTAGAAATACACTGAAAACAGAGGATGTGCAGTAGCTGCTAAGACTGCTCTGCAAAATCCCCAATTGCAGTGAGGACATGGTCAGAAGGGGGAGATAGAGTATACTGCACAAATCTGCTTTTTATTTTATGATATTTATTGAATTGACAGTTTATTTCCTCCCATTTGTTGTTATTGTTATGATATGATTATATAAATTTATGGAATATTTCTTATCATTTTATTAGGTTTTACCCCATTTCATAACCCTATGTTTACACATTATATATATATATTTTTTACTATGCCAAACGTATATAACTTTTATTAATTATATAGTAGACTGTTGGTGATTAATAATGTTTGTACATCGCATATATTCCTGTTTTTATGAGACGTTGACTTGTTTTTCCCTGGTATATGTCTCTTACTAGGACGCTCAATTTATGTCCCCTTTTACATAGCCTTTTCTCATTTTACTAATTTACTGTTACTTAATTTCTGATTGGATCACATTACCATTTAAAACATTTTTTTTACTTATTTTAATGCTGACAATTGCAGCTGTCATTGGATTTTACATCATCTAAAATATCCATGGAAAAATGGCGCCCGCTTAGCCGTGCGTGCGCATTAAGTTTGGTCTCTTTAAAGATGGCGCATGTGTAACGCACATGCGCCGTCGTCTATATATACATCGACGGCGCGCGGCCTGGCGTTATTGGTGTTCCCATCTGATGACATGCGGGTGCACGAAACGCGTAAGGAGGAGCCAATAACGCCGTGACGTTATGCCGCCACGAGCAACGTGGAGCTCCGGCGGCCATCTTTAACGTTGGACGGTTAGTCCATGCGGTTTATTCACTCACCCTATGTTTTATCTCTGGATGCCTTGCGAATACCTTTAATAAATGTTTAAAACTACTACACTATGGGTATTTCTTTACCTTGACTCCCTTGGGGAATATTGATTTACAAACATCCACTATCCAGTATCCAGAGAGAGAGCCTCTATTACACCCTGTGAGCTGCACCCATCTATCCCTTAAGGGGAACTCTGGAAATTCCTGATTCATCATCTAAAGTCCCAGGATCCATCCATCATGAGAGGGAGTTTATTCTATAACTGACCTATCACAGATGACCATTAGATGACATCAGGATATAATATTTAAAACGCACATTATATTGCGCATTCCGGTGAGTGCGCATTTCTTCTATATCTGATTGCACAAGCACCGGTTTCTGGATTACACAGGATATAAGAGTACTTATAGTCACTTTATAAACTTTTTATATATTTTATGATATTTATAAAGCAGGAGTTCTTATATGAGCATCTCAAAGTCATTTCATGAACTTTTTATATGATTTATGATATTTATACCTTTTATCGTTTCTTAATATTTTTAGCGCTGCACACTCTTGCTTATATTACACTAGGACCAACAAGGATTTTTTTGTAGAATACAGAAAACAAATCCCATAGTGACTGAGTATGAACAGCATGTAATACATCATTTATTGATAGTTTTTAATGCTGTGGGTTTAATGACACTTTAAAGGGTAACTCCACTTTAGGGAAAAAACATAGCAAATAAACCTGGAGGCATTGTGTTCTGTACACCCATGGTGTACAGAACACCACCGGAAATGTAATTTCCTGCTTGTGTGATTGGCCTACTGATTTTCCCCTAAAGTCTGCTCTAAGATGCAAGTTGGATTTTAGGTATTCCATTTAATAGGAATGTAGGTTTTGTTGATATACTTCCCAAGGGTTAATCAGTTCTAAAGGGATGCAGACACTGCAACTTTTCTTGTTTGAACACTGCGAGTGCACCAGGTGAATATAATGAACTAGAACCTCCCATTCAGAAGTGATCGGTCTGTAAAACAAACAACTATTTCTTGACAGTAACAAATGTAGGAATCTGCTACAAAGTTTGTTAAAATCCCTTCAATGTACATTTATCACCCAGAGAGAATGTTTTTTTCACAACAAATGTGGAGTTACTCTTTAAGTGGACATACAGTAGTCTATACTTGTAAATAGATTTTACTTCATTTCAGCATTCTTCTTCTGCATCTAGCTGTCCTGCTACCTCATTTTGAATGGCTGACAGCATACTCAAAAGCAACTCTGTAGGGCCTGACATGACTTAGGGGGGAACCCCATACCATTTATTTAAACCATCCCTGGCTCCTTTGCTTACATGTCTGGTGACTCCGGGCCACATAAGTGAATGGAGCTGATGACATCACTAGTTGTTATGGACTCAGCAGTACTTGCACCCGCTAGCGTCCTTAAAAATGATTGACAGCGGGCAGCTGTCAAGTATAATTGCGGCACTAATATAATTATTATACATGATGTTCAGCTCCTACTAAATGGGTAGATGTTCTTTGTCTGAACGTGTGTTCCCTTCTATTCTTGTTGTGTCTCCATGATAGGGAGTGAAGGTAAATCTCCCAAAAGCAGACAGCAGAATCAAAACAACAGATGGGTTTAATTCGTTCTCTGTCTATCCTCTTTTTTTTTTAAAGATTATTTTTATTTGCTTTATGAAAATAAAAGTGCATGCAAAACAAATCATTGGGCATTCCCTGGCTCTACAGTACTGCCTATCCTCTTTAGGCTCCATGCACACTAGCTTTTTTTTAAGGTCAAAAGCTAAAAAAAACACTAGATACAAAACGCTGGTAATGGCATTTTTTGTAAGAGTTTTAGTAGCATTCAGAAGCGTATAGGAGTGTTAGCATTTTATTAGCATTTTTTACAGTAAATATAGAGGGAAAAAAAAAACTAGAAAAAAGCAGTTAGGTGCATTTTAGTAGTGTTTAGCAGCATTTAGGACCATTTTGGATGGTTTAGTGTTTTTTTCTACTGGAAAAACACTTAAAAAAACTCTTTTTCTGCTCCTAGACGCTGAAGCTCAAAAAATACTAATAGCCTAAAGTAGTGTGCATGGACACATAGGAGAACACTATTTAGCTTCTAGGAGCAGAAAAAATGCTAATAACAGCTTCTAGGAGGATAAAGCGCTGAGCAAACTGTTGGCGCTATATAAATCCTATATAATAATAATGAAGAACTCTAGTGTGCATGGAGCCTTAACCTCCCTGGCGGTATTCCCGAGTGTAGCTCGGGGTAAAATTTCAGTACCAAGAGCGGTAACCCCGAGCTACACTCAGGCTTACCATGCGGCGTTGGTCAGGGAGTCTCTGCAGCGCTTACCTTGTCCTTCGCTCCCGCGATGTGTCCCCTGCAGCGTCCCCGGCCATCTCCTCCGGCAGATGCCCGGCATCCAGCTTCCGTGTTCCGGTCCCTGTGACGTCAGGACGTACGGGTGCCGGAACCGGCAGCAAATTTATTTTTAAAAAAATTACATTTTTGAAAAATTTCAATTATTATATAGTAAAACATTGCTGTTTCAATGCATTTCACATATATTTTGTCCCTACTGCTTTGTCCTGCGCCCTGCCTACATTTTGACTGAAACTTAGAAAAGTCCATGGCGTCCAAAAAGCATCCCTTTAGGTCAAAAGCGGTTTTAGACCAGCTAGAGAACAGCGATAGTAAATTAGAACCACTTGCAGAATTGAGTGATAATGATTCATGGGGGAAATTTTGCGACTTTGCTCAGCGATGTGCGAATTTGCCTCTGTATTTCAAATTTCAGTGTTTTTGGTTTGATTATATTATTGAATTAAATTTATTATTATTATATTATTATTTTTTATGATTATTAATTAAATTATAATTTATGATTTCGTGTTTCAAGTTTTATCATACCCGGGATGTTTACTAGACTCTTGTTCGGACAGATTTCAGTGAGTTATTCCTAAAAATTACAGCCTACAATAAAAAACTACATATTTCCATGCAAAAAAATGGTACCGCTTTCAGCACCAAAAATCGGAAATAATCATACCGCCAGGGAGGTTAAAGGTCTCTGGGGATTACACATTGTGCTGTAGGATGCCAGGGGGTAAAGGGGAAAGCCCAGCAAAAGTATTCCAATCATTTTGTCAATCTTTGCATAACTCTTGTCATCTTTTGCTGTACTTATCAAGATGCCCAAAAAGAAAATGGATATATCTACAGGTAGCCACGAAAATAATTTAAGGAGATTCTGACTTCAGGAGGTTGTGCCCAAACAGTAAGCAGAGGGCAAAGAACTAGTCACCTGTATTGCCTGGGATCTCCCTGCAGCTAATCCTTTCCTCGTTATCAACTTAAAATGCATTGTTCTGCATTATCACTATGTGGA